TTAAATAAATAGCCATAAAATCTCCAAAGTAGTTTTTAGGATAAAGAATAACCAGAAGTCTATTTTATGACTGGTTGAAAAATGTGTTAGAACAACTGCACTGAAGAAACCAATCCTGCATTACCTACTATGCTGAGCATTTGGGTAAACCCAACTGAAATGTGTACATATATTTACCAAAAAATGAGTATTAGGAAGTTCCTAGTGGTACTACTTGTAATGTCCAAATGTGAATGATATGAAAATGCCCTTTAGCATTACAATGGCTTTAAAAGTTCTAGTATATTCATATCATTGAAAACTGCACAGTAAAGGAAAGAAATGACCAACAACTATACAGAACATTGATGAATCTAACCAACATATAAGTAACTAAATGTGCCTGCTCTGTTTACATGAAGTGCTACACTGGGAAAGCTAATCCAACCTCTTAGAATAAGAACAGCATTATTGGGACCAGCAGTTAGTGTAATGGCTATGTCACTGAACAACCATGGTTCGAGTCCTGGACCCAGTGGCTTAAACTCAAGCTGGGCATGTGTGTATGCATGACCAAGATCCTGAGAGGAGAATGGAGGAGAAGGGATTGTGGTGTGGCCATACCCCCTGGGGGGTGATTTCTTGCTCTCTGTCTCTCTGGTGAGCGCACGCACCCTATAGCAAAAACCTCTAAAAAAAAAAAAAAGAAAAAAAACAGCACTATCTTTGGTGAGGTGAGGTAGTGACTGGAAAACTATCTGTGCTACTGGCCACTGTCTGTGGTGGTTTTGTTTGTTTTTTTTTAATCTAAGAGTTGCAGCATAAAAGTACTAATTTTACTGTGTATTATTCTGTATGTATGTTATACATTAATATTGAAAGACAAAATGGTCAATGTCTCACTATTGTAAGTTTAATGCTAGTCTTGGGAATGGCAAGACTCTTTATGATAGGGATCTGATGTACCCTTTCAACCTTATTTCTTTTTCTTCCCTGCCAGTCTTTGCCCAACGGCATCAGTCTTCTCTCAAGTTGCCACACTGTTTTCCATCTGCTTGATTCTACCGTGTGGTTTTCTTACCTGAGATACACCGCTATTATTCCCATTCCTTCTCATTGCATGTCCAGGCTCAGGTGTTACATTCTATTTTATAGAAGATTTTCCTAAATTGCTCTCTGTACCCATATTTTACCCCATGTATTGATCAGTTCCCTTGCTGTATTTTTTATTATGACATATTTAAAATGACTCATTTACATATCTGATCACCTCCCTTCCTACCCCCATAGACTCCAGATGGAGCAATGTCAGTGGTGGGATCTCTTCTTGGACTTCTTTATCTTCTAAGCACCTGACATAATTCCTGACATATTGAATATGCTAGTAAATGCTTGAATAAAATAAATACATAAGTGGATGCTGGAATAAATATGACTTAGATACACATATAACTAGATTGCCAAATAAAGAAAGGAAGCTGGAGACTCCCATTTTTAGAAACAGTAAACCTATTAACTCTAAAGTGATCAATCCAAGCAGGAGATGGGATTTTTGGAGCACTCTAAAGAAATAGAGCCACCAGATAAATAATTATTGTTGCAGGCAGGAAGGATGGATGAGGAGAACTTTGAGTGTGCATATACACACACACACACACTTTTTATGCGCATGATGTTAAAGTCAATTTCCACACAACAGAAAAATGCAGCTAATTCCCTTATAGCTAATCGATGCATCTAACTCATGCATTCACCCACTCACTTATTCATTCATATCTCTTTATTTAGCAGTGACTTATGCTAGGCAACATGCTAAGTGCTAGGGATTACAGGTGATTCAGTCACTGTCCCTAAAGAGAAGAACATCCAAACATTTTATGACGTTTATCCAGCTTGATTATTAAGAGCTAGGAAATGCTACCATTTTATCTACTCTCAATGTTTTTAGAATCACTGTTTGTTTATCCGAAACATTTCAGAAGAGTCCTCAAACCACTCATGCTGTTTATAATCCACCCAATTTTTGCCTTTATATATTCCATAGGAAATAAATAAGATTTACCTTTTGGACACTAATATGGCAGAGGCAGGAAGGATGGATGAGGAGAACTTTGAGTGTGCATATACACACACACACACTTTTTATGCACATGATGTTAAAGTCAATTTCCACACAACAGAAAAATGCAGCTAATTCCCTTATAGCTAATCGATGCATCTAACTCATGCATTCACCCACTCACTTATTCATTCATATCTCTTTATTTAGCAGTGACTTATGCTAGGCAACATGCTAAGTGCTAGGGATTACAGGTGATTCAGTCACTGTCCCTAAAGAGAAGAACATCCAAACATTTTATGACGTTTATCCAGCTTGATTATTAAGAGCTAGGAAATGCTACCATTTTATCTACTCTCAATGTTTTTAGAATCACTGTTTGTTTATCCGAAACATTTCAGAAGAGTCCTCAAACCACTCATGCTGTTTATAATCCACCCAATTTTTGCCTTTATATATTCCATAGGAAATAAATAAGATTTACCTTTTGGACACTAATAACTAAAACATAGCGATAAATTAAAAAAGAGAAGTAAGGAGAGGGAGAAAGAGATGGAAGGAATAAAAGAAGGAAAGAAAAGTTTAGTGAAATTTATTCTCCATCCAAGGAGAAATATGAGTTTTCTGATTTTCCCCAGGGAAGTTTCTATCCTGCCATTAGAAACTACAGAGATCAGTGAGGAGCTCCGTCAAGCATCTCCTCTGTTTGGATGATAAACAGGTCACCAGGAGGAAAGAGTTATGGTGTTCAAATGTGATCTACTTTATATCCTTAGTGTATCTTACTGTTAAAAATTACCTCACCACTTTGGGGACCTCTTTCTTTTTTCTTTAAATATTTAAGTATGCTAGACACCAGAGCTGCTGAACAAACCTCAGCTTACTTTCCTTTCCCTTTCTGAAGTGTTAATCACAACTGTTCCAGCTGTAAATGGCCCGAGGGAGGGCCAACCACTTTCTCCTGCGTACTCGCACTTTGTATATATCAGTATGAACTCACGCTCTCTCCATACAACTGTGTACAGGGATTCACCTCACTGCATTTAATCATTTGGGTGTGGATCTGTCTCTTCTTGACTTTAAACTTCTGGAGTGGAGCTTAAAGATTTCAGATTTTAATCTCCACATCCCTGAATCCCTGACGCGGGGTTCACATTTGAAAGATTTTATGTTTATGAAATAAACTGGATCTAGTGAGTCTTATATCTGGCTGTTTTGACAATTATTTCTCTAAAGATATATGTTTTAAATAGTTGACACCGTGACTGGTCTTGGTTTTGCTCCTATTGAATACTTTGATTCTAAATTGACTCAGAGGTTTTAAAAGCATCAGGCTGGTAAAATCGGCACAGAGATTCTGCGTGTTGATGCTTTCATTCTGTGAGGAAAAATGCACTAACAAATGCAGACACATCTTCCCAAACTGAGTACAAGAGGGAACACATGATTGTCACCCCTCTGGAAATCCCAGTGCCCACTACAGAAGGAAGTCTGTCTTTGAGAGCTGGGGGGACTGGTTGCTCAGCTGTCACTTTTTTCTCACATTTATTCTGAATGAGCACAACCCATCCATCAGTGCTTAAAGAGTTTTCCAACAGTACATTGACCTTGAATGCGGCACATTGATTTTCAGTAACGCACTGCAAATAGGGTCGTTACTGAGTCACCCAACAGTGAATGTGATTGGGAACAGATTTCTGAAATTCCAATAGGGTGCCACCTGCCTTGGATGATGGATCAGCCTACTGGAAACCATCAATCCTTGCTGGGGTCTTGAAAATGGTGACACCTGTATGAAATTTATCATTATGGACACATAAGGCAAAACATAAGACCAAGCCCAGGCTTTTCCACGATGGTAGAGCCTCTTGGGTAAGTGGTTGGTTTTGTTTGCAGCAGCATTTATTTACTGAAATGCTTTGCTGAGAAGGACCCACTGGTGATGGTGACAAAGATGTAAGCACTATAGGGAATTCCATCTGCAGCAAGGATTGAACGATAGATAAAAAGCCTGTGTCTTAAGCTGTTAGAGGTTAACGCCAGATCAATTAAGGTGATTGTTTCTTAGATTGCATTGGACAAATGTACACACACAGGGACATTAGCACAACCAGAAGAGAAGAACAAAGAGAAATTAACTGATGCTAGACTCCAAATCAGACTGGAAAATGATTTTATGTTCTTTTGAAATGCTGAATTATCTTAATGAAGAGTTTCCTTTCAAAGTGAGGCTCCTGCATCCTTTTTTATTTTAGTACAAGAAACTTTAGAACAAATAAAGAGGTTTTATCAAGAACTGGATAATCATAGGGGCCATACTAATTTTGTAACAATATGAGTTTTAGAATCTAGATCTATTTTTTTTAATATTACATAGTTTTCGCCATATAAGTATTAATAATTGTCACGTACTGACTTTCTGCCATGTGTCAGTTACTACCATGGCACATTACAGGCATTGCACTAACTTCCTAATAACCCAAGGATATAGGTCTGAATTTCTTCCCTCATTACAGATGGGGAGACTGAGGAACAGTTTTCTCAACTGAGACTTGAGAAAGTTGCTTGGGCTTTTATCGTTTTTAAGAGAACTGAGATTGGAAATCCAGTCTTTGCTTTTTGACTTTAACCCTCTCATACTTTCCACTATGGTTTGCTGTTGCTCTGATGATGTAAAAATTTATGACATGGTTATGTAAATACACATTCAGGTTCTAATACTGTCTACCTAACAGCAGCAAACTACAGCTGACTGTACCTTGGTCCTTTGTCCAAAAGAGTTAATAGATGTTGCTGGGCATATGCAGTTTGCAAAGGTGCTCCTTTGGGAGTGGCTAGGCTCATATTTAGACTACTTAAATTATAAGCCGCTTTGTAGAGGGCGAGTGTTTGGAGAGGTCTGAGTTTTATAATTGGTGCTTGTGGTGCGCACTCCAACCCACCTGTCTTCTCTTTGTTTCAGACAATCTAGTATTGGACATACATCACTCTCTCTCATCAGACTCGGGGCTGAAATCTAGCCAGACAGGACCTACAGTGATGATAGGTGAGAGTCACCACAGGTAAAATTCAGCCCAAGCTACTCATAGCAAGGCTTAGAAAATGTCCATCTCACTTCTTTTGATAATTAAGTCTTACACTGGTGGGGAATTCAATGCCTGCAGCCCAAATGAGTTGCTTTGTATGATCCTGCTTATTCCTACATATTTTCTCTGCCTGACTTACTTTCTGGAGAAGGTACAGAGGTCTGGCTCCAAACTATAGCTTGGTTGATTCAATAATTCACTCATCTCAACCTCCATCTCCCACCTGAATTCAAGTTTGGGTTCTCAGTGCATCCTACATGCCTCTGAGGCTTTTATAGAGGTCAGGCCTTCCTTTGTCTTTCTATTTTGAGCACCTAGTATAAAGCTCTGTATATAGAAGACCCTCAATGCACTTTCTTTAAAAGACAAAAAGTGTTAACAGAGAGACCCCATCCTGGTGTAGAGCATTCTTCCACCTCAGAAAAAAAGCTGTGAGGCCATGTGGTCCAATGAAGATCAAGAGTATGGCTTTTCTATGAGGATGACCTGAGGACAGGGACTGTCTTGGGATTTGTAGGCTCATAGTGAGAAGATCTCAGCTCCCGTGATGTTCATTCTCTGCGTCTTAAACACAGTAAACATTTAACAAGATTCATTGAAAAGCATAATTTTTCACTAACTACATGGATAAATAAACATCTTCTTGAATGAATAAGTATCTGCTGAGCGAATGAATGCGGTAACTGAATATTTTCTGAACGAATCGATGGATGGCTATCTGTTGAATGACTAGACATGACTTGGCTATGTTAAATTTCCCACAGTGCAAGGAATTCAAGCTGAACGGATACAGTGGGTAACTTTGAATCCAAACTTGTCAATGTGTTGTATTCAAACTGTCTGAATATCTGAACTCCTCAAGCACACAATTGATGAAACTAACTATGCAGAAATCTGTCTTCAAAATTCCAAAATCTTCCCCACAGTTCTAGCTTCTATGTCTAAAGATATACCTCCCACTCATTTTCACATTTTTGAATGAGCAGGAAAATGGTATCCTGAGTGGAGAGTATACTGTGTATGTTCAAGGAATGAATGGGGCTACATACACATCTATTCCAGGAGCTATTAGCATTCATAAAGGAGAACCAACACGTGACAAATGTGATTAGAAATGACTGTCAAATAATGACAAATAAGTTCTAATAAAAACAGACACAATCTTAACAATTACTTGAAATGCAGGTATTTATCAAATGGAGTAAGATTAAAAATGACCATATTGCATTAAAGAAATCGAAGTGATGGAATTTTAAATATGCAGCGTGGCTGTTTCACTGTGCTCACGCCTTCCTCCTCACCAAGCTCCTTGCAGAGAAATGGGGTGGGAGTGGATTTAGACAAAGAGCGTTCTAATATGCCCCGAAGTATTCACATTTTTTACCAATGTTATCTCCGAGTTCAACTCTGCAGAAAAATGAGACCACAGTATAAAGGAGAGTGGGACAGTCCCCAGTCTCCCAGACTTCAACTGTGAGAAACAATGGAGAGACATACAAATAGCTGAATACACTCTGTGTGGGTGAGAGGTGCTCCCAGGCCCCTTGGGATTATCCTCAAAGGAGTATTTATTATTAATGCAAACATTCAGATACATGGATCTATGGAAAGAATGAATAACCAGACAGGAAATTGATGGTTTGGAATCCCTCTTTCTTGCTCTGCCAATTCATTAATTATCTATCTCTGTTTTAGGGTCTTTAAAACGAATGTGGGGACTCTAGCCATAAAGCACCAGAATAAGCCACTGAAAAAGTTGTACTTCCTGTAGAAGTAGTGATTGTACTTTTCAAATCACTCTACAACCAAAAATATATGAACAATGCTAGCAATTGGGATATATATATATATA